TTTCTTTTACTTACACGTTTTTTTTTCCCTTTATTATATGTTGAGGTTCCTCTCTTAATTAATGAAATACTACATGAAGAGTTATATCTTATAAATATTTGTGTGAAAAGTGATATTTGATAGGTGTCAATCTTATTTAAATAACTTAATTCTTTTGTTATTGAACTATAATTTGAAAGAAATATGTTTTATTTCTAAAATATTTCAAAATTCAAAAGAGTTGCGTAAATTAATTACTTTATAGAGATGATGAAATAGTAAAACTTTTATTTTATGTCTTGCAAGATTCAATGAAGATCTAATGTCTCAAAAAATTTCAATTCGCTTAAATGTTTGGAAAAGGTTTGAACCCTTTTAAAAGGGTTGAGTTGTTTCCAAAAGACTGAACTATTTTAAAAGATGTTGAGCCCTTCAAAGGCAGAGAACAAGATTTGAAGTAAAGGTCAAACCACACAACCATTTGGAAATGACCGAGTGGAATGACTCTAAAGTGGTGTAGAATTTTGGTTTCCCAGGAGTTAAATAGATTCCCAAGGGCTCAACTAATGTAGTTGTTTCACCATGAATAATTCTATAAATTATTCAGTCATTTGGAAAGGGCTAAGTGGTTTACTCTTTCTCCTTCATATTGTATTTTATTTTGCTACACCTATATAAGGAATTGGGAGGAGAAATAAAGAGATTATCATAAAGACTTGAGCGAAAATTATAGAGCAAGCAAGGAGTTCAAGAATTAGTTGGGAATGGAAATTCTGGGATCTTTCTTCTACAACTTTTTCTTTTTTATGTATTTTGGATTGGTTCTTATCATCATGAGTGACTGATCCTTTCTTTTAGTTGAGATTGAATGTAATCTATCAGATCATGTACTTCTTTTGATTATATATGTATATATGTATATATATATATATATATGATTATCTATTATTCATTGTTAGTAATTTTGATTCCGTTCTTAATAATAAGGTGATTTGATTACTTATCTTTGATCTTTGATCTTTGATTTAGATTTTGGTTGGGAAACATTTTTTGCATCTTGTTTTGAATCAAATCACCTAATAACTCTAAATATTAGGAATAGATTTAGAGTTGTTAGTTGAACAAGTTTTCAAACTTAATGTAAGGTTTCTAACCAGATGAATGAAGGAAACGATTGAGTTAAACTTCTTAGAATTTCTAAATGCAAGAAATTAATTTGAAATGATATTAATGAATTCAATGATATTTGATGATAGAAATCATATATATGTAGTTTTAGGAGAACATTAAGGTGAGATTGATAAAACTCAATCTCAACAACTTTACATACTGTTATCTTTCAGTTTTACTATTACTTTATTTGTTATCTTTTTATAATTCTGTTAGGCCTACTCGAAGATCACAAGAGTCAAAATTTATATGATACTACTCGAAAGAATATAAAGATAACACCTACACTTACCAAGCATAGGGAAGAATTCTTATACATTCGTGTTTGAGATCAAAAAGAAATTGTTTCGAGTAAGTATAGTAAATACGGTCTTCAGAAATAGGGAAGTTATCGAAGATTCCTTATGGTTGCACCAGGGTGGTTATTAAAGCATAGGTCAAGGAAATAGAATACGTGGGAAAAATGGTTAGAAGAAATTACAGACGGTTACTAGAAGTTGCATAACTTACACCCACGTCAAGCATAGTGGATAGCAGTTACAACCCCACAACACACAAACTTGAAATTCAACCGCTATTGATTAGATTTATAAATAGAAGTATTTAACCTCATGCACGAGGTTAGAAAACTCATACTTGAACTCTCAAGTACTCACCGCTTGCGCATATGGCTTTCGTGCAAGGAACTGTTTCTGGGTATAACCACTTCTCGGCCATTTTTCTTCTCTTTTTAGAATTAGGAGTCATTTAGTTGTCTTTTCTTCTTGTAATCACGCAGTTATAGAATCTCAATACTGTAATGCTTGAATATTATGCAACTTGAACATGATTTGCATTGCAAATATATACATTGTTCATTCTGTTCGTCTTAGTATTTATGTGCATGAACATTATTTTTTGATAATCATTGATGAACATTTGGAAATTAGTAACTGTTAACTCTTTCTACTTCGCCTTCTGTTCTTAAAAGTGCTAAATACCTAAATTGAAACATTTGTCGTGCTAGTCCGAATATAAAGAATCCATAAACCAATTTCCCCTGTAAACAAATTCCAATATTGAATTATGAACAACATCATGTTTATAATATTTGTGAATCTTTATATTTCAAGCTTTTACTAGGATAGTAGAAGTTATAAATATCTTCCAAATCTGTGAGATTTAACAACTCATACTCCTTTTATATACTATAGTGACTTGGTGTGCTTCTCTAAAAAACTCATTAATATCTCATGGAGAGTCATGAATGAAGAGTCATAAATGAAGGGTTATGAATGGAGAATTGTGAATGAAAAATCATGAATGAAGATCCATGAAATGGAACAGTCATTCTATCCCCGGTAAATGGATAGACTTGTGGAGTGGTAGTAGATTAGTAAAGTTCAATCCATTCTAGAATCCTTTTTTGAGAGAAAGAGTGAAATAGAGTGAAAAAATTATTGTATTCCTCTTTGAGAGTATGTTGATTCTACCACACAGTGAGAATTGAGAGATAATCATTTAAGAAAGGTAAGATTTTTTCAATAATTCTCTTAAGCAAGAAAGACTATTTGTAATCTTACTTTTATAGTGGAGATGTTTTTTTTGAACTAGGTCCTATAGTTTGTCCTCACTCACATTGAGAAGATTTTCCACATAAATTTTTTGATGTTATTCTTCTACTCCTAATTCTTATTTTTACTTTTGCATAGTATCCATTATCTCTTATTTTATTTTTCATTTTTAAAGAATTTAAGAGGTACAAATAATCAAATTTTATTATAATATATTTTTTATGCTTATTAGACATATATGTAACAAAAAAAAAAGTTTTACACTCACATTGTATATAAATTAAAATTTATAAATAATTCATATTCCACTAAAAATATAATTATATATAAAATATATATTTTTAGATACATATGCACTATTTTTAAAATACTATTGACAATGTCTTAATTATTTTCATTACTAAACGTAATTTTTAAATTAAAATAATGTTTTTGGTAGCGTAAAATTAAAATTATAATTGTATTTTATATCAACTATGTTAAATACCTTAAAAAATCATACATGAAATTTTCTTTTTATACATTGATACTAAAATGTTATAAATACTTAATATATGATAAAACTTAATGTGATTTAACTTTAATTTTAATTTGATAATAAAACTTAATTTAATAAATAATTTTATAGTTAATAAAAATAAAATAAAAATTTATAAATATATTAAATTAAATATTGAATATAAAACATGTCTAACCTTTCTTTTTTAACGACTATACACTTAATGAAGGTGTAATTAGTGGGGCAGATTGGGTATATAAGTAATCACACGTGTATATAGATACATAGGTGCATTTAACAACTTCTGAAATCAGTCTAGTGAATTGTATTTATAAGACATTATGTTTGAACCTTCTTATTATTATTAAAAAAAAATATTGATAAAAAATATATAAATGCACTTAATTAATGAGGATTAAAGTTATTAAAATCACGCATGTATAAAATTAGGTAAGAATTTTTTTTTTCAAACTTAAGTATGAGAACGGATAATATAATATTCTATGGAAAAGCCTGAATAGTTTTTCCTTTGAAGAACTGAGATGCTGGCAACCCGCAAGTCTGCATAAAAAATAGTTTTACGACAGATTTGATTGAAGGCTATGCCCTTCTCACAAAGCGCAAACCAAATAGGTGTTAATGTTATCACTTTGTTGCTGCGTGATCTACCATGCATTTTTTTAAGACTCTTCAGGATATAAATATAGTGAATATAAATTCTATAAAAAAAGTTTATCAGCAATTAATCACCTTATCATGTGCTTAAAATATCATTAGGAGATAAACAAATGTATGACTTTTGGCAAGAAAATATAGCATACACTCTAGTCAGCAAATCTTGCAATAAGTCACATTAATATGATGACATATAATGGCCTTGAGACTGTGCTGCTATATATTCGCATAGAAATAGAAAATTGCAGAACAAATTAATTAGTGGCAAATCCCCAATTCAATCCTCATGGTTGTCTTTTGTGAAGGATCCTACGTTAGAGGTTGATAGTACCTTCCTCAAACATTTATGGAATTTTCCGTAGTGGCTTTAGTTTAGCTGCTTTTTGTAAATGTTACTGTTATTACTACATACTCAGTAACTATGGGGCCAAACTTAGGTTTGTTTTCCCATAATTTTTGTTGGTTTTATAACTAACTTAATTATACACAATCCATGGTCATATATTGTGGTTTTATATTGGAGAGGCTCTGTACTAAAGTTAACAAGCAAGAGTATCTAATACCTTTTTGAATTAAACTTCTTGATAAACACTTCTAGAAGAAAAAAAACTTCTTTTTTAAATTTAAATCAATTTTTGAAGAAGTTAAATGAGATAATTTTTATAAATTAATTTATGAATGACCTAAATTTAATTTATTTTACTTTATTATTTTCTTTTTCAATAAGTGTTTGGAGAAAAACTTATCAAAAACAGACATAATTATATTGGATTGAAAACATTGAATACTTATGTTGGATTAAATAAGAGTAAATACATTGAATTTTTTTTAGATGTAATCATTAATGTAAAATTCATAGTTCTTATAAATTTATTTTATTAACTTTTACGAATTCAGTACCTCATAAACTAAGGTCAGAAGAAAAAAATCTTAAATGATAGTCATTTCTACACTTACTATTAAAGAGTTTTTGGACTCCCTCAAATCCAAAAGAAAAATAAACAAATTGGTATTGTACAACATAGGTGATAAATAGCTAGATCAAGAGTATTTTTATGTTTTTTCAACAAAATTCGGAAAATTACGAGTCATAGGAAATAAAAACATGAAAGTACTACTAATTGGATGGAGTATTACATTTGTTAAGTACATGTATGTTCCATGAAAGATGAACTGGTTTATTTAGATGATAGAAAATTCGGGTACATTAATAGGCATTTTTGCACCATTTAACTTTATTGGCAACACATCATATTGCATTCACTTTAATTGTTTCCAAAATAGCTGATATTTCATTCTAACTGTAATCCTTTTCAAGTGGCTCAAGTGTCAACACCTGAAATTCAATAATATATTATATTACATTTGTAATTTTCAAAAATAGTACAAGATATGTCAGAAAAATCAAATTTATCTATATAAACAAAATCAGGTAATAGTTGAAGCTAGTAATCATAAGTTATTATAGGTGTATCTAATTATCTATTTAAAGATTATTATGCATGTCATGAGAAAAATTATGAAATGATTTTTTTTTACATTGAACTATACATGTGCTAAAATACGTCTATTTTATGAAGATTCATATACAGATAAAACACGAAAAATTCTCAAATTTACTAATTAATTTTGAATAGGAAAACTTCATTTACTTATAAATAATAATCCATAAAAGACAAAGATAAACTATATATTAAACTTTTTTTTCAACGGAAAACTAGTAATTACAACAATAACCATTGTGTGTTGACTAGTTATATGTGGAGAATTAAGTAGATTTATATTTACTCACCAACAAGAAAGAGCTTCCTAATTCGATTAAGCTCCCTAGTGACATCAACCACATTCATTCTTTCATTTGGTGATTCCATAGAACAAGCAAGTCCAATCCTAAAAAGTGAAACTAAACACTTCTCAATATTTGGATTAAGATTCCAATCATTTCCTTTGAATGCAATCATTTCATGTGTTGGAATAAGGTGTGGGTCCAAAATCTGCAAAAGATTATCAGGAAATGAAATTGCAACAAAGTTACAAAGATTTTGACCATCTTGAAACATTTCATCCGTCGGTCTTTTTCCGGTGAGCATTTCCAACATAAGAATTCCAAAGCTGTACATGTCTCCACAAGTTGACACCTCAAAACCCATTCCATACTCTAAAAAATTCAATATATACACAATACTAATAAATAACAAGTTGACACAAAAAAAATGAGAATTAGAATATATAAACACCTAGATTTGAGAGCATACCTGGGGGAGCATAGCCCAGAGTCCCTATTATTCCAATTGTACTTGTGTGCTTAGAAGTGGTACCATTGATTGTTAAGAGAAGTCTTGCTATGCCAAAATCACTTACATGAGCAGTCATGTCATCATCAAGTAGGACATTAGATGGCTTCAAATCAGAATGAATGATCAGTTTCTCACATTCATGGTGAAGATAATGCAATGCAGAAGCAATATCAATCATGATATTTAATCTTTGATCAAGATTCAATATCATTGGGCGATCTGCACCAAGTGTCAGAGGATGCAACCATTGCTCTAAGCTTCCATTTCTCATGTACTCAAAAATTAGAGCTTTAAATTCTTGACCTTTGTAACCTGTGCTGGAGCAACATGTCAAAATTTGTACCAGATTTCGATGTTTAACATTTTTAAGTGCATTGCATTCAGTTATGAAACTCTTGTGAGCTCCTTTCCTTTGAAGGTTTAGGACCTTTATGGCAACAATTTTGTCTTCTAACTCAAGAGTTCCTTTGTAGACAGAACTGAAATATCCCGACCCTATCATGTTTGTAGTTGAGAATCCATTGGTTCCATTGTATAGGCTTTGGTAGGAAACTTTAGCCAACTGGTCAATTGTTGGGGAATCCAAAAATGGTTTCTTATTCCTTTTCCTTATCCAACAGATAGTTAGAATAATCGACAGAACGAGAATAAAAGCAACCACACTAACTATTACTGCAATCAACTTGAACTTGCGGGGTTTGGCAATAAGTTTCTTAACTTTGACAGGACATAGTGGTAGATGCAGTTCAGAAATACCTCCACAGAGCTTAGTATTTCCAGTCACCACTAACTCACTTGCATTTCGAAAGACACCTTCAGTTGGTACCTCACCATCCAACATATTAAAAGATGCATTGAAATATTGTAGGAAATAAAGGTTCTCTAGAGCCTTAGGAATTAATCCAGACAAAAAGTTTCTTGAGAGGTCTAAACGTTGAAGACCTCTGAGAGATGCCAAAGAGGATGGTATGATTCCATGTAAAGAATTTCCTTGCAAATAAAGGTGCTCCAACATTATGCATTCTCCAATGGTTATAGGAATGTCACCAAACATGCGATTCTCAGAAATATCTAAGAAGTTGAGATTTTTTAGATTGCCCACTTCTTTCGGGATTCTGCCACTCAATAAATTTTCTGACAAAGTCAAGTTTATTAGAGTGGAAAGATTCAAAACCTCTAAAGGTATGATTCCTTTAAAGTTGTTTCCTGAAAGAAACAAGTATTGTAGCATTTGGCAGTCTCCTATACTTGGAGGAATATTTCCTTCTAACATATTTTCTTCAATGTTAAAAAAGAACAATTGACTAAGGTTGCCTATGAAGGCTCCTATATGTCCTGACAACTTGTTTACACTTAAGCTTAACACTTGCAACTTCTGAAATTTCCCAAATGAGCTCGGAATAATCCCTTTAAAATGGCTATTGTCCATGGTCAACAAAATTAAGTTTTTTAGATTCCCTAACTCGGCTGGAATTTTACCTGAAAACTGATTTCCCCCTAGATATAATTGATGAAGTTGGGTGGATAAATTGCCCAAAGAATTTGGTAGATGACCACTAAAATTGTTGTAAGATATAGACAAGACTTTCAACTTACTACAGTTTGTCAATGAGTTTAAAAACTCCAAATCATTGATTGAATTGTCGCCAAAATTGTTCCAGGACAAAGAAAGTTTTTGAAGATCTTGTAACCTCCCCAGACTTGGAATTTGTCCGACGAAATTGTTTCGACCGATATTAAGTTTTGAAAGGTTAGACGCATTTGTGATGGAAAATGGGAATTGGCCTGAGAATTGATTATGACTAATTGAAAGTGTTTGGAGATTGGGGAGGGTATGGAACATGTTGTGGGGAAGAGAGCCATTTATTAACATATTTTCTGCAGCCGACATTCTAGTAAGAGATGACATATTATAAAGACAAGAAGGAAATGCCCCAGCCAATTTGTTGATATCCAGTAATAGAATTGTCAAGCTCTTAAGACAACATATTTCTTGTGGAATATGTCCCTCTAGGTTGTTTTCAACGACCACGAGATCAGTTAGAGATGAAAGATTCCCTATGAATGATGGGACTCCTCCTGTCAACTGATTTCTAGTAACATACATTTCTTGAAGCCTTCGAAGTGAGCCAATTTCATTTGGTATTCTGCCAATGAGATTGTTCCCATATAAGAATAAGTGTTTAAGATGAGTACAACATGTCAAATTTGTAGGAATTTTTCCTACCAATGAGTTATTTCCGACACTGAGATATTGCAGATGTGACAGCCGTCCCAATTCTTGAGGGATATTCCCAAAAAAACTGTTGTTTGAGAGTCTCAAGATTCTCATACAAGAGAGATTGCCTATGTGAGGAGATATGGATCCCTTCAACTTGTACCCTCGCAAGTTCAACTCTATAACTCTTTGATGCATGGGATTGCATGTGATTCCATGCCAGTTACAGCCTCTTTTTTCTTTTAACACATTTATTCTCAATTTACAAAAAGAGAGATAAAATTAAGCTTAAGAATGTTTTAAGTCTGATGTAAAATCAACAATTTTGATTTTGATTTTTATAAATATTATTTTATATTTTATATTTTTCCTCTTTTAAAAATTTAGAAATATTATATTTGGTCTTTATAAAATATTTTTGATTCTTATAAAAATGAGTAAATTTTGACTTTACTATCTGTTATGTTATATTATGTTATAAATTGGTGTGTGTTTTTTTTATATTAAATTATTGAATGATGTAATAGTTATATTGGTGTGATTTGATCTCTTCTCTTATATATATATATATATATATATATATATATATATGTAGTGCCAAATAATCGGTCTCATTTTCTAATGTAAAGACACCTATATTTGGACCAAACCATAATAAGTTTAATGTGAAGAGAGAAAACAGGTGGAAATATATAGACCAAAATGCAAGAAACATGAGAGAAAAATATTTCATTTTGATAAGTGGAGGCTGGAAGATAGATGATGGTATTTTTATTCCTTACAGAGCTTTATATAGAGTTTGGTAAATGCAGAAGAATCACATGCTGTTGCTTTTGCAACTTTCGTTTTGATCGATTACTCATATTAAGAGTCAAGTCAATAACCAATTGTTAATTGCAGATATATAAAATATAAAAAAAAAGTAACTGCGAATTAATTCAATCGCAAATACTTAATCGCAAGTCTAAGTTTGTGAGCTCCAGAAGGGTGTCACAGCGGACTCTAACTTGAACTTGTAGTTCAAAGCTTTGGTTTCCGAGGTCACATGTTTTACTTTATCTTTATTATTATTATTATTATTATTATTATTATTATTATTATTAGAAACAAATAAAAAGACAGATTTAAATATATTTTTAGTCCTTCAAATTTAAGATAAATTTATTTTTGATCTCTTAAATTTAAAATTGTTGTTTTTAGTCTCTATAATTTTTAAAAATCTTGTTTTAGTGTGTCAAATCACTAATAACATGTATGAAAGTAACAAATTAAAACAGTTATACAATATAAACTGAATTTAATATAATATTTTTACTCATAAAGACACTAATAGATAGATTTTATGCAATAACATTTGATAAATTTTTTAACAAAATTTGACTATAAAGATTAAAATAAAATTTTTGAAAATTACAGGACTAAAAATAACACTTTTAAATTTAAGAAAATAAAATCAAATTTATCTTAAATTTGAGGAATTAAAAACATATTTAAACTTAAAAAAAGAATATTAATCAACCCATGAAAATAAGACAAACCCATGAATTTAATTTAGTTAAGAGAATTATAAGTCTATAAGAAAGGGGGACACAATTAAAAGAAGAGAAAAGCAAAAATAATTGGTAAAATAAGACAAACCCATGAAAACTATAATATCAAGGCCAAAATGTATGTTATGAAATAATAAATTTCTTCATAAGTAATTTAAAAAAATAAAAATAAATAAATTTTTTATAATTTTATATTTTGACACCAACTTTTTTATAAATTAAAATTATTTCTTTTAAGTGAATCTTAAATCAACTTATACATAAATTAAAAATCATATTCTAGAAAAGTTAATATAAAAATAATTTGTAAAATAATTTATAAGTTAATTAATTTTAATTTCAAAAAATATTTAATTTTAATTTTTTTTACAAATATTTATACAAAAAATTATCTAAACGAATCTTTAGAATTAGTCCAAGACGACTGGACTTGACGGGGTGTAGTAGATAAAATGTCTTACATTAATTAGAAACAACTAGGATTACACGTTACTAACAGCTGGGGATGTTGACCATATTTTGAGAAGACCAAATTATTGAAGGTTTTATAATATTTACACACACCTTCGTTTATTTAAATATATTTTTATTTTCTTATATTTATTTTTAATTTCTTAAATTTAAAATAGTTTTTTTAGTTCTTATAATTTTTTTTAAAATATTTTATTTTTATATTCAAATTTTATTAGAGAACTTATTAAATATTGTTATATAAAATCTATCGACTAGGTGTCTTTAATGAAATTTAAGATAAATTTATTTTTGATCTCTTAAATTTAAAATTGTTGTTTTTAGTCTCTATAATTTTTAAAAATCTTGTTTTAGTGTGTCAAATCACTAATAACATGTATGAAAGTAACAAATTAAAACAGTTATACAATATAAACTGAATTTAATATAATATTTTTACTCATAAAGACACTAATAGATAGATTTTATGCAATAACATTTGATAAATTTTTTAACAAAATTTGACTATAAAGATTAAAATAAAATTTTTGAAAATTACAGGACTAAAAATAACACTTTTAAATTTAAGAAAATAAAATCAAATTTATCTTAAATTTGAGGAATTAAAAACATATTTAAACTTAAAAAAAGAATATTAATCAACCCATGAAAATAAGACAAACCCATGAATTTAATTTAGTTAAGAGAATTATAAGTCTATAAGAAAGGGGGACACAATTAAAAGAAGAGAAAAGCAAAAATAATTGGTAAAATAAGACAAACCCATGAAAACTATAATATCAAGGCCAAAATGTATGTTATGAAATAATAAATTTCTTCATAAGTAATTTAAAAAAATAAAAATAAATAAATTTTTTATAATTTTATATTTTGACACCAACTTTTTTATAAATTAAAATTATTTCTTTTAAGTGAATCTTAAATCAACTTATACATAAATTAAAAATCATATTCTAGAAAAGTTAATATAAAAATAATTTGTAAAATAATTTATAAGTTAATTAATTTTAATTTCAAAAAATATTTAATTTTAATTTTTTTTACAAATATTTATACAAAAAATTATCTAAACGAATCTTTAGAATTAGTCCAAGACGACTGGACTTGACGGGGTGTAGTAGATAAAATGTCTTACATTAATTAGAAACAACTAGGATTACACGTTACTAACAGCTGGGGATGTTGACCATATTTTGAGAAGACCAAATTATTGAAGGTTTTATAATATTTACACACACCTTCGTTTATTTAAATATATTTTTATTTTCTTATATTTATTTTTAATTTCTTAAATTTAAAATAGTTTTTTTAGTTCTTATAATTTTTTTTAAAATATTTTATTTTTATATTCAAATTTTATTAGAGAACTTATTAAATATTGTTATATAAAATCTATCGACTAGGTGTCTTTAATGAATACATCACATTAAATTGAACTAATATTATATAATTATCTTAATAAATCACGTTCAAATGTATTATTGGTGACATTAAATCCAACTAATATTACATTACTGTCACAATAAGTCACTTTCTCAATAAGTTAATTTTAAATATGTTATTAGTGACTTGAGGAGTAAAACAAGACTTTTAAAAATCACATAGATTAAAAATAATAATTTTAAATTTGAGAGATAAAAAATCAATTTATCCTAAATTTAAAGAATAAAAATATATTTAAAATTTTATTTTTAAGAAAATTTGGAGATGGGGCATTGGTCACAAATATAAAATATTGATATATTTTTAATAAAAAAATTACTTAATTTTAAATTTAAGAAAATAAAATCAAATTTATCTTAAATTTGAGGAATTAAAAACATATTTAAACTTAAAAAAAGAATATTAATCAACCCATGAAAATAAGACAAACCCATGAATTTAATTTAGTTAAGAGAATTATAAGTCTATAAGAAAGGGGGACACAATTAAAAGAAGAGAAAAGAAATTTAAGAAAATAAAATCAAATTTATCTTAAATTTGAGGAATTAAAAACATATTTAAACTTAAAAAAAGAATATTAATCAACCCATGAAAATAAGACAAACCCATGAATTTAATTTAGTTTGCATTAATTAAAATTTATTTTTTACTTAAGTAATATATACAAAAATTTATATTGATAAAAATTTATTAAATACCTCTAAAAATTGACATAATATATATTTTTTATATTAAAATATAAATAATTAGATTATCTTATAATATAAATTTTCAAGTTTTAAAGGTAATATAAATGTTGTAATCATTCCAAAAGTAGTTCGTCTTTTATCTTTATTTATATGTTTTATTGTGTTGATTTTTTTTTTTTTCAATTTACTGTCTTTCATTTCTATGTTTAAATTAAATTTAAATATCTTTTAAAGAAATTTTCCGTAATTAAAAATAAATAATCATGTATATAATAATTTACTTTATTTATATACAACTATTTTTATTATAAATTTTAATTAAGAATAATTATAATAGAATTTATATTTAAAACATTTATTATAAATTTTAATTATATAAAGACATATTTTATTACATGTTATACACAAATTAAAAAAAAAAACTAGTTATAAAGTAAAATGTTATCATTATAAAAAGTTTTTGGAGAGTGATCCACTAAAGTAATAATTTGGTCTTGGCCATCCTCAAAGTAATACTTTAGTATAATATATTACTACTTTAAAAAGGATTCTAACTTGACCCAAATGATAGAAGTAAATTGGAATCCTTGTCATCTATCGCTATTAGTTCTACATATAATTCGAATTAGAGAAAGTGAGAAGAATTAAATTATATATATATATATATATATATGAGAAGAGATTTATTTATTTTTAAAATAAATTTAGTTAAACTTATTTCATATAATAACTTATGTTTATATCAAATTTAAAGAATTTAACTATTGAAATTAAAATGATCAAGTGTAACATTCTTCTACCTTAAAATAAAATTAAATTCAGTCAAAATTTGAATTTAATTCATTGATGGTAAAAGAGTTCACATGTATCTCATAACAAAATAATTTTAACAAGAAATAAAATATTAAAGCTTAACAAAATAAAACAATAATGATCGATAGATTTACATTAAAATAGAAATTAAATAATGAATTAAATGCATCATTATATTTTATCCAGTCTTTTTATCTGATTTTAGTTAGAAATTTCCCTTTTTTATTTCAATTCATCTCATTTCTTTCTCCACATCACACGGTTGCAAGCTTATTTTTTGCTATGAATATTATCATATATCATTTTCTTAACAATTTGTTCGAGTATTTATTTTCCTCTTTATAAAAAGAAAAGAAAAGAAACAAAGAGTACAGATCTATATCTGAAGTAGACAACGCAATTTTTATCTCTTTGATGTGCATATATATTAGAAATCACATACGTATATCAGATATCAATGCAAGTTCTATGTCTCAGATACTGAATTCAGTATCAACAACTTTAATATCGTGGAAAGTTCTAGTTACCAACTTGATTTTACCATTGTCATTTTTACTGCAAAACTTTGTATTAGTTTTGCAAGTTGACACATGAAATATTAAAACCTGATTTAATGGGCAATTAGAAGTTACAGAATGTGAATGGAAACATGCAAAATAAGTAGATCCAATTTGCTCTTCAAGATGTATGAATTGGACATGATTTCCATTGACACAATCATAGGTGGATCCAAGACTCGAAGTTAATAGAAATAATTTTTTTAAAAAAATAAAAATTAATAATCATCATTACATATATAAAGAATAAAATAAAAATATTAAAAATAATTATCACTGAATTCAATATATAAAATTAAGAATTTAAAATATAATATTTTTAAATATACACTAATAATTTAATTAAAGCGAGAGATATATCTATATATCCTCGTTATAGTGTAAGTTCACCATTATTCGTAATGCAAAGTTACAAACTTATATATTTGTTTATTTTTTGTAAGGAGGGTCAAGGACTGACCAAGAATTT